CTGGGTTGCATCGGAGTACGGTGTCGCCGAATTTTTATCCACAAGTAACGATCCGAACGTAGGAAGCCCCGAGGTCGAGGGACTGTCCTGTTGCTGTGGCACCATTTTCGTAACGCTTGCGAGAAACTCTCCGCGTGCACTACACTTTCAATTTAACAGTCAACGACTCGCATCACAATTCAGCGCGCTCCGGAATCAATTGTACGAAAGTGAGATGTGGAGAGAGAGAGCGCGCGCGCACGCACATACGCGGCAAAATCGTTCACCCTCGATCTCGATCGTGCGCGAGCACACGACGTCGCGGCTGACCACTCTGCGATTCGCTCCGCGAATGTATCCCGGCGACGTTTTTTCTCCGTCTATCTTCTCCTCTCTCTCTCTCTCTCTCTCTCTCGTCGGCAACCGACGCAAGCGGATCCACACGACTTACTACGCACGACGCGCCCGTGAGAGTGATTCCGCTCGGTCGCTTCGCTTCGTTCCTTCGTCCCTCGAGGCGAAAAACAAGCCGTCCTTTCGTCCTTCAGCGGCAACGTCGCTCTTTCCCCCTCTGTTCGCCTCTACCCCGAACGACGCAGCAGATAGGCCCCCAAACAGCGCTGCGCGCGTCGTAGCTTTTCCGGTGCAACGACGGAAAAAGCGAGCCTCTCCCGTGAACGCGACTCGACTGAGGAGCACGACGAGCCGCGCGCGATCCGGCGCGTCCTTTCCGACCGACCAGTCGATCGGACGAACGACCGACGAAACAGAAATCGGACCTGGACACCTTGTCTCGTTTGCGCACGGTGATCGGTTTATCGTGCGAGCGAAGAGGAGGAGCCGCGACAAACCGCCGGCATGAGGACGCGCCAATTCTGCACTACCATGTGCTCTCGCCGGGCCAAGTACGACACGCGACACTTCGGTCGTCTCGCCTCACCGTCGACTCACAGTCAACGTGGACTCTCTCTCTCTCTCTCTTTCTCTCTCTCTCTCTTTCTTTCTCTTATTCCCTTCGTCCTCGGTGCAACGAATCTTCCCACGCTACCGGATATCGATGACGTGTAGCACGCGCGTGTAGCAGACTGGCGTTTAAGATCCTCTCGCTCGCTCGCTCTCTCTCTCTCTCTCTCTCTCTCTCACACTCGTCGCTCGTCGATCACGATGGTGGCATTATCGCCCCGTCGCACAGTCCGTTAACACACAACGATGTACGCTCAGCGAGCGCTCATGTCCCACTGACTGCGTGCGTCCGCCAGTCCGCTCTATACTACGCTCAGCTGTAAAGAGTATCCCTACCACGGCGCGCCACGAGCTCCGCCAATCAGCGTCGGCCGTTCGTCGCTTCCCCCATCGGCCGCGGCGGCTGGTCGCCAAAGCGCTCATTCCGCCGCGCAGCTTCGCGCCGTATGCACGTATGAGCGTGTGCTGTCGTCGCATCGCTGCGAGCATGGAGCCTTGCCAGCGTGTGTCTCTCGCCGTCCGCGTCGTATATCCTTAAACTCGATCGCTAATCGCAACCATTGCCAGTGTCAATGCGACGCGCTCTCGCAGCTTTCCTCTCCCTCGGTCGAAGCCGTGTTGTCGTGCTTCTACCTCGGCCTCGGACCTCGCCTCACGTGGGAATCACGAGAGATCCGAGGTGTGTCTCTCTCTTTCTCTCTCTCTCTCTCTCTCTCTCTCTCTCTCTCTCTTTCTCTCTCTCTCTCTCTCTCTATCTCGCGAGAAACGGATCTTCCTCCCCGGCACGAATGGAAACGACCAGGCTAATCCCGAGGCGAGTCGTCGCTATTTTTTGACCGAGAGACGCGTCTCGGGAGAACGCTGTTCAGAGAGGAAATGAGGAATTTCTCTGTCTGAAAAGGAGGTCCGCAAGGTTGCGGGAGCGGGGACGGGGCTGGGGGTGGAAATGGGTACCTGGCCGGTGCATCTTGATATCTCGTCGCGCGATTAAAAACCCGCGAGATCCGACGTGCGACTCGCATTACGGTATACCGATTCGGTTACCCCGACCGCGCCGCGCCCGCGGGGGCGTAAAAACGTGCGAAATTAAGAGATTACGATCGGCGCGGCGCGGCGCAGCGCGCGCACTTTCTCATATGACGGGCCTTTGAATACGTTCTTACGCATGCCGTATGGGTAATATGTCTGTCGGGGAGGAGAAATTTGAATTGCAAACCCGTTAATTTAACCTTTACGCAGCCCGAGATGCGTGCGCGACCGGCGAACAACGTGGCCGACTGAGGGGCGTTTTCCGAAAAGCGATTTTTCCCGACTTCCGCGATCGGCACGTCAGGTGATCGCTGTCGCCAAGCGGACGAGATTTACGCAAGTTTACGACTCGCGCGAGAGATCGCAGATGAGTTAACCGCAGGTCGCGTTCAAGCGATCACACACGAAGCACCAATCGCCGATTCGTTCCGGACGGCACGGAATCGTCGCGTTCTCTCCTCTCCTTTCCGCCCTCCTTCGACGGGCAATCATTCCGCCTCGTCTCGTTTAGCCTTCTAAAAATCACGCGACGAGCGCGAATACGTATTCCGCGCATTCGCGTTATGCACCGAACGGTCGAATGAATAAATTCGCGACGGCCGCCAATGCTGAGAGCCTCCTACCTCCCTTCCCCCTTTGCCGTCGTCCCCAGGGTTCTCTCCATTATCGCTGTTTACGCACATTGTTTACTCACGGAGTGTGCAGCAGCAGCAGCAGCAGCAGCAGCGGCGGCGACAGCGGCGGGGGCAGAGTGTGATCGCGGGACCATAAAAATGATTTCTTCCTGCTTTCCGCGTCGCGTATTAAACGCGCGCGGAATACGGCGTCGTAAAAAAAAAAAATGGCGAGTGCGGTGGACTTTATGCGTAAACAGGTTTAGTGCCAGCCGGCATGCTCGTTGTTTCTCTCTGTACGTAGCGCCGTGCACGGGCCGCCCAGGGGAGTTGCATAATAGCGCTCGATCTGCGCGCCGCATTTTCTATTCTCATAGGAAATTCTACACGGCCGCGTTAAAGCTTTATTCGGAGGAGAGGAACGCCAGCTGGACGGCTTTTCGATAATTGCTTTAGCGCGGAAATAACAGCTCGGGCCGGGCCACGTTGAGAGTCCGTTCGCGGCTAGAAATCGCGCTACGACACACGCGGCCGCGCCTCGGCGAGCGCGCCGTGAATTAAGATAAACGTCCCGGTATCCGACCACTTTGGAAAAAAAATATCTACTATTTATTTTAACAACAATGAATGAAAGTAGTAATTATTGTAAAAAAGAAACTACGATATTCGACGATTAGCTGGAAGAAAATCTAACCCAATTTGATACCTTTGTGTTAAAGTAAAAATTAATTAAATAAGTATGCACCTGTGGTTTGGCGAAATAATGGTCGATCGTTAATAAATTCGTCAAGAGATAGCATCTGTATTCATATTATTTACCGTTAGCATTAATTTTCGAATCGCGGCCAGACACGGGGGCAAATGTATATCCGAACATTGAGCTATAACCTATTTCAATTGTCCGATCACTGGTACATTAATGCGCTTCATTATTTGTGTAAATATTTCATTAATAATAGATACATGCATTGGTTTAAATCATTTTTCTCTGCTTCAGAGAATCTTGAGTTTTCGAATAAATGCAGATATTTCTATCAAAACTATTCTCAATATTATATATTGCATTTTTTTGTGACGACGATCTACGCTTAATCGTCCGGCTACTGGAACATTTATCTTATTCCCGCGCCGTTCTTGCGTCGGAAATGATAGAATCATATGCACGGTTCAACCAGCTGCTGGCCGCCGTACTTTTGTGCTAATCGTTTTACGCAGGAATAACAGATCGCGCTCTGACCTCCTCTTCCTCCTCCTCCTCCTCTTGCTACTACTCCGCCTCCTCCTTCTGAATGTGTTTATTACGCGGGAAAGACCGAAGCCGGAATTACCCCCCGACACCCCGTCGCTGACGAGCGACGACAGATGAAATGTTTTACGTGGAAACATTGGGACGCTTTCCGTCTTTGCAGAAGTGGCAGGAATCGCTCGAGGAAGCAGCGTCTTCCTCGATTTCGCGTCTGTGCCTCCCCATCCTTCTTCTCCTCTTTCTATTCTCGCAGAGCAGCGGATTCATCGGTGAGTATCATCGTGAGAGAGAGAGAGAGAGAGAGAGAGAGAGAGAGAGAGAGAGAGAGAGAGAGAGAGGGAGAGGGAGAAGGGGGAGCAGGTAGAAGAGGAACCGTGAATATCCTTCTCGCGAGAGACGTTACATCATCATCGAGCGAATCCGCGAACGGCCTCGCGAAATCATGATTTGCACCTCGATCTTTGCGGGAAATCGAAACACCGACAGAGAAAAAGAGAGAAGTTTACGAGCAAGCACGCTCCCACGCGCCGCCCTTCGCACAGTGAAGCGACTCTGCGACTTCTTTTCCTCTCTCTCTCTCTCTCTCTCTGTCTGTCTCTCGGTCCCGGTAAATGGCCGATCTATAAATGCGGCACGCCAGAAAGCGCGCGCGATGCGCTCTCGGTCGCGCGTTTCGCCTACGATGTATTTTTAGTAAGGCGCACCGCGCCGCGCACGCACGGCCAGCGGTCGTGAGAAAGAGAGGAGAACGAGGGAGAGGGAGACGCCCGAGCCGTCCAAATTCTTTATTTTGCGCAAACATGTCAAGAGAGGCACGTTGAAAGTCATACAAATATAAACCATATATACGCGGAGCCTAACGAAACACTTTCGGCGAAAACGGCGGAGGTGACGCGACGCTGTTCCCTCGTGTTCGCGAACGAGTTCTCTCTCTCTCTCTCTCTCTCTCTCTCTCTCTCTTCGCCGAGGGAGAAACCTTGCGCAATCGCGATCGGTTCGGAAACCGCGAGGTTCCCAAGCTGTCAACTAAAAAACCGCGAAATTCCCGGCATACAGGATGTACGTCCCAGAAACCGCGCGCCTTCGCCTGAGGTGAGCCCTTCGATCGCATCATCGAAGCGTTTCTCTCCAAGGCTCGTCGAACCTCTCTTTATGCTTTTGGCAGAATCGCAAGTTAAGTCTCCGTGCGCTTCCACGCACGTCATATTCGCTCACCTGACTAAAGAGAGGCTCGCTCCCCCTCCCCCGCTCTCCCGCTCTTCTCTTCTTTCTCTTTTTCTATTTTATTCTCAAGGTTGCGCCGCGCGAGTATATAGATCGTCGTTTCCGTGAAATAAATCATTTCTGTGAAACACGAGCGTTATTATTTTCACGAGAGAATCGCCGCTTTTCGGGGAACGCGTCGCGCGACGGAGAGCAGCTCTCGAACTCACTCGACTCGAAAAATAACGTTTTCTCCCCCCCCCCCCCACCCGCCCGCGCACCCGATGCATGTTAGATGTTAGATCGTCCGAATTAGCTGTCTCTCTCTCTCTCTCTTTCTAATTTCTCTTCTCCTTCAACCTTTCCCGCTTGCTCCGAACCGGACGAAATAAGCGCGACTTTAATTCCAACACGGCCAACACGCGTCCGGACAAAAGTACCGTAACAAATCGGCGTTGAAAGAGGAACACCTATATATCGCGTTGCTCTAGTATCGATACTCTCTTTCCGCATATTGGCTTCCTAGAATCGAGCTGTTTATTGGCGGCAGGTATGAGCGCACCTTTGAGAGGATCGAAACGAGACGCGATGAAGGAGAACAGAAAGACGCCTAGGTTTCGGCGTGTTCGTATTTCAAGCGAGTTAACATAAAAGCGATATAGGTCGGCAGCTCGATCCTCCCAAGACCTCTTACGTCCCCGAATCGAGGCGTAGCAAAAAGAGAGGAAACGGTCTCACCGGGCTCCTTCTCTCTTTCCTTTCTCCCCCCCCCTCTCTCTCTCTCTCTCTCTCTTTCACTCTCCTCGCTAACGGAAAAAAAGTATCGTCCGGCCGGTGGGTGCGGTCGCGCCGGTTAACCGGATGCTAACTGCAACTTGAGCATACTAAACGCCGACGGTGGACGTCGTCGATGTGTTTACGAGAAGTGTTACTTCTGCGACGACGTGGCCGCGAACGTGCGCGTCCCCATCGCTCGGCTTCGACTCACCGCGCGATAACCGTGCGTTGGAAAAATCTTTTATTACTGCTCGTCACTGTCGTCACACACTGTCGTCGTCGTCGTGCTTGTTGTCTCCTCGTCGCGTCGCGTCGCGCGCTCTTCGTAGCTACGCAGATCAGAGAGGAATTTTCCCCGAATTTTTCGTCGGGAGTTACTCGAGATTTGTCGGAGTGCGGAAATTCCAGCTCGAGTGAAAAT